ATATATTTCGTTCCCACCCAGAGAAATCAAAAGACAGAGTCGAGGAGATCGGAAGAGTATATTTGGCGATGACCAATATATCGGAATTCTCTGATCTAATCTGGCTAGCGATTGCGGTTGATGTTGAGCACGGCGTTACCACACGTGATCTGGTGCGGATGCCTGACCGAGCGCCTTCAGCTAGATGAGTCCACTAAAAGATATGGTCAGCATCCAATGTCGAAAACTTAGTGCTATTTATTTTGGGGATTTATTTACCGCTACAGGCTGCTTAGTAATCACCCTAAAGGATTGTAAGGTACCTACCTGATGTCCTGTATCAAGGAGATGTTTGGTGATCGCACTGTTCAGAGTCTTTCTTTCCCTTGTCCTAAGACTTTTTGGAACATGTTCAAAGAATCTAAGATATGCTCTCCTTTCAGTTCGGCCGATGTAGCTGCTTTGGCAGGTACACGTAAATTTATAAATACGGTTGGCGGTAACATGAAAGGGTTGCTTGTCGATCTTTGATTGGGTTATTGAACATGTTGTTTTATAGAGAATTAAAAGTTTAGCAGCCGGATAAGTTCTGGCTAGCGCTGTATTCAGTCTCTTGTTGATAATTTGTGCGACGTCATCACCTTTAAAGTTAAGATTTATATATACTGGTTTTTTATTGACCATAGTTATTTCCGTCTTCTTTTCCTTGGGCCTTTTATATTTGTCAATAAATTTTTGTGGATAAAAATTGTCTTTTAGGCATTTTTCTACGTTCATTAATTCTTCTTCCAGTTTGTCGGTGGTGCATATCTTTTCTGCCCTGTAAAATAGTGTTTAAACCAACGCCTTCTTGTAACTAATTGGACAAAAACTATTGAAATTCAGGTAGAGGCCATTCCAATTACTTTTTCTGTAAATTGAACGTTGAACTGTCCCGTCTCCCCTGCGTTTGATGGCAACATCAAGAAAGTGGAACATATCGTTCTGTTCGTGCTCCATAGTAAAATGTATGTTATTATGAGCGTTATTGAAGAGTTTGAGCAGGCGGATTGCATGTTGTTTATTATTACAGATAATAAATGTGTCGTCCACATATCTTGAGTATTCCGTTGTTTCACTAATTGCCTGTTTAAGTATCGTGTTCTCAAGATACCCCATAAAAATATCTGCCATAATTGGACCTAGTGGACTACCCATTGCTACGCCATCGACTTGGCGATATATGGTGTTGTTAAATTGGAATTGAACATCTGTTGTACATATTAGTAGTAGTTTTTTGAATTCTGGGGCTGGTAAAGGTAGGAGATTATCATTCTGACAAATTATATCAATAGTTTGAAAAAGTGGTATATTGGTGAACAAGGATCTTACATCAAAAGAGACCATGAACTTGTCGTTAACATTCGTATGATTTAGTATCTCACCAAACTGGAATGAATCTCTTAACGTATATGTTGCTAATCTACGACGAACCGGTTCTAGTTTTTCTGCTAACCAGCGTGCGACTTTGTGATATGGTGAGTTGATCATTGATAGGATAGGTCTAAGAGGAACATCATGTTTGTGAACTTTTGGTAAGCCATACATATGAGGTAGACGTGAACCACGTGGTTTTAGATCGTTGTAAGTAGAATTATCAATCATTTTCGTTTTTAGGAGTTCTCTAAGCATGCCTGTGATTCGTTTTTCTGTTGAATCAGTCAAATCTTTTTGGGATTTATCTACTTTGAACCTCCGTTGGTCGTTGAGGATTGACTTCATCTTAGTGACATAATCAGCTGTATTCAATAGGACAACACCTGAACCTTTATCCGGTTGTAAAATCATCACCTCATTATTTTGTTTGATGTTTCTGAGGGCTATTAGATGTTCTTTGGATAGAATATTCGACTTTGGTGTTGATGACACGAAGTATTGGTTGGCAATATCAACTAACTTTGATTTGAACCATCCTTTCTTTTCCTCATTCATTGGCTGCAAATCTTTTAACTGGTCAAACAGATTTTCGAATTGAGCTTCTGTATCAATCCTGTCAGTATTTGGTTTTGGTATATGAAATTTGAGTCCCAGTGATAAGGCTTCTGTTTCTATACTATTAAGCTTCGTATTTGATAAGTTATAGATAAACATCGAAGGGTTTTCCGGAAACCCAAAACATAGTTGTTCTCTTATCAGAGTTTTCGATAGAGATTTATGGAAATCCTTGCAAACCTTGATTTGAAGATCACGGATAAAGTTCATGAATTTTATTCGACATACGATGTTTAGATCATTAACGGCTTTACCAAAAGCACCGGCCTCACTCCTTAGTCGTGTAATGAGTAATTTTGTCGATTCAATGTGAGATTTGGTAATGCGTCTTAGATTTTTAAGCGATGGTGGAAGTTTACATGAACGTAAGGATTTTACAAACTGATGTGGGAAACAGCCCGACGTGAGACATTCTCCATAAAACTTGACCCTTGTAACTTCTCTTGATATTCTGCAACGTACTGTCACAAGGTGATTCAGTGACTTAAATAACTGATCAGGGAGGCGTTTTTTGAGAAATTTCATACACATAGTTCCCTTTATCATTTTGAAAAGAGCAAGAACAAAGATTCTAGCAGAATAGCATGAATTCATTTTATTTCGTAGGTTCTCGTCAGCTGCTTACAACCTGTGATATTTAAAAATCATAATTGCATAATAGATTAAAATTGCTTACAGAATATTGTAAATATATACCTAATGTGAAAGAATATTCTACAACATTAATTGTGACAACAGTTCAAAAGTGAGTTAGAAACAATTGATTACATAATGAATAAACATTGATAGGAATATAGTGATTAGAGTTCAGTTGGAAGATTATTAATTTGAAAGATAGTTGAAAAAATAAATTAGAATCAATGATGTAATAAATGCAACAGAAAAAAGGGGGAATAAAATTGTCAGAATGAAGATCTCCTACCTTTACCAGCCCCAGAATTCAAAAAACTACTACTAATATGTACAACATGTTCAATTCCAATTTAACAACACCATATATCGCCAAGTCGATGGCGTAGCAATGGGTAGTCCACTAGGTCCAATTATGGCAGATATTTTTATGGGGTATCTTGAGAACACGATACTTAAACAGGCAATTAGTGAAACAACGGAATACTCAAGATATGTGGACGACACATTTATTATCTGTAATAATAAACAACATGCAATCCGCCTGCTCAAACTCTTCAATAACGCTCATAATAACATACATTTTACTATGGAGCACGAACAGAACGATATGTTCCACTTTCTTGATGTTGCCATCAAACGCAGGGGAGACGGGACAGTTCAACGTTCAATTTACAGAAAAAGTAATTGGAATGGCCTCTACCTGAATTTCAATAGTTTTTGTCCAATTAGTTACAAGAAGGCGTTGGTTTAAACACTATTTTACAGGGCAGAAAAGATATGCACCACCGACAAACTGGAAGAAGAATTAATGAACGTAGAAAAATGCCTAAAAGACAATTTTTATCCACAAAAATTTATTGACAAATATAAAAGGCCCAAGGAAAAGAAGACGGAAATAACTATGGTCAATAAAAAACCAGTATATATAAATCTTAACTTTAAAGGTGATGACGTCGCACAAATTATCAACAAGAGACTGAATACAGCGCTAGCCAGAACTTATCCGGCTGCTAAACTTTTAATTCTCTATAAAACAACATGTTCAATAACCCAATCAAAGATCGACAAGCAACCCTTTCATGTTACCGCCAACCGTATTTATAAATTTACGTGTACCTGCCAAAGCAGCTACATCGGCCGAACTGAAAGGAGAGCATATCTTAGATTCTTTGAACATGTTCCAAAAAGTCTTAGGACAAGGGAAAGAAAGACTCTGAACAGTGCGATCACCAAACATCTCCTTGATACAGGACATCAGGTAGATACCTTACAATCCTTTAGGGTGATTAGTAAGCAGCCAAACTCCAGTCTTCTGAAGTTTGCTGAAGCCATTGCCATCAGGCGACAAAAACCTGACCTATGTATTCAAAAGGAGACGGTGGTTAATCTTTCCTTACCCTGGTGACAAATATTCCTTCACTGAACCTTAAAATTTTTTTCATTTTTCTCCCCTTTTTTCTGTTGCATTTATTACATCATTGATTCTAATTTATTTTTTCAACTATCTTTCAAATTAATAATCTTCCAACTGAACTCTAATCACTATATTCCTATCAATGTTTATTCATTATGTAATCAATTGTTTCTAACTCATTTTTGAACTGTTGTCACAATTAATGTTGTAGAATATTCTTTCACATTAGGTATATATTTACAATATTCTGTAAGCAATTTTAATCCATTATGCAATTATGATTTTTAAATATCACAGGTTGTAAGCAGCTGACGAGAACCTACGAAATAAAATGAATTCATGCTATTCTGCTAGAATCTTTGTTCTTGCTCTTTTCAAAATGATAAAGGGAACTATGTGTATGAAAAGAATCGTAAGTATTCCATTTATATCGTTTTGTGTCCGCATCATTTATCCTTCTGTGTATTGCTCTAAACAGACTGTACATATTTAAACTAGTGGTTGTTGACTGCTTTCTAGTGAAAAACCGCAGACTGGATAATAGTGAATCTACTACGTATTTTTGAAATTAATTAGCTTTATTTCGTGTTTCGGATATAATTAATTTAAATTCGTACGCCTTTTTACCAGTATAAATTATTGTACGCTTAAAAATATTTGTTTGTTGTACACGTGAACGTTCAAATATCAGCTACTCATATATACATTTCTATTCTTATAAGAGTTGGAAATTTATTAATCAGCACATTTTTTACAGCTCTACATGAAAAATCTTATCGTTTTCGTCTTAACGAAAGTTTTTCCGCTACATGCAAGCCACCTACAGCAGGTGGTCTAACGATATCCAACTTTTGTGCCATTTGAGGAGGGCCTTCAAAGTTTTCATTTTGAATTTTGGCGTCAATAATAAGTTGATTAAGAAGAGCTTTTGCACAATGTGGTTTTATTCCCAACTTTGCTTGTCCCATTGCCATTTGTCACATGCTCTAACCATTGGAAATATAAGATGATGAACTATGAACTCTTTTAGTCTAAAATGTATAGTTGTCGTACTTGTTGGTTCTGTCGTTTTTCTTTTCTTTTCTTTGATATTTGTACTTGAACTATCTTTTATAACTAAACAACTTGAAAGATGTGATACAATTGATTCTAAAGGGACTTTAATCGCTCGAGACATTTCAGCATAAACTTCGTGATCTTCAATTCTGAGAGCATGAAATGGTCTGACAATTGCAGCCATACAACTACAAAGCAATTCATCCAGTTGATCAGATGATATATCCTGTTGACTACCTATAACATGACAAATGAGAAAAACATTTATTTGGTTTATACTCGATATTCATAGTTAAAGCCCGTGTTGTTTACCGACTTTTCACCAAATCGTATCAAAAGCGTTGGCAAGTGCTTCTGACTCGTGTTTGAAGGCTACTGAATTGAAACGTTACATAGACCAGTCTTAGAAACGAATCGAAGTGTTATTGCATGCAGCACATATGTGATCAACCTGGACCTATTGTATCTAAATCATAGGTCAACATCTTTAACATGTTGAGCTGACATTTTAGTTTATGTTAATAATTATCCCTTGACTCGTAGTGTTACTGTCTTCAAAAATTGTCACCGCGCCTGAATTAAAAAAAGTTTATCTATTATCCTACTTATTAAAATTGTCCTAACTGATGACCATAGTATGTAATTTCTTCAGAAGGTGAATTGCTAACTTAGCAGTTTGTCTACCACAACAACCAATTGTATGCAATAAATACAATGTAGACAGATCGTTCCTTTCGGCATTAGTTTCTCAAAGACTGACAGTTGAGGCTAAAAGGTCAACATATTTTTAGTAGTGCGATTGCCTATTGTTTACTTGGTGGTGGACATGGCGTCAACATTTTGAAATAACTTTGTATTAATTGTTTCGTTAAATCCATCCTTACTGCAGGACAAACCAGATATGTCTATTCAAAAGTACGATTTTCAGTCTTGCACTGGCCTAGTGATCACAATTCTTAATACTTTGTTAGATAACATATTTCATGCTACAAGTTACATTCCTTTTAACCAATCCATTGTTTATAATAGCTAGATTTTCGCGCTAGTTTTACGTCTCTAAAAGTATATTTTCGAAAATTCCCCAATAAAATATTCATATTAGTTAGCATAAATAATAAACTGTCAGTCAGTCAGTTAGCTACAACGTAGGACCAGGCACATATATGCATCGGTCCAGGTTGCCATACCTCATTAGCACAGCAAGATGAACACCGGATTCATAGAAGTAGTTAATCCAGTGGTGGTAATATATAAAAGAAAGACTGCATATAAGGATACAGTACAGGAAGAATGAATTAGGTCGTAGAAAGAAAGATATGAAGTAATTTTAATCTCTTAGTTTAAGGGAAGACAGGGAGTGTATACACCTACGCCATTGTGATCGATTCTGAGCCATGTCACCAAGAGTCTCCAGCCATTCAGTCGACGAGAATGTTATTTCCATCAGTAGGTCTGTGATGGAGTTGAACAAAAATGGAGAAAGTGGACAGCCTTGACGGACACCACTTGAGGTTGCAAAAGTAGATGACAGTTCGCCATAAGCTCTGACTCGACTAGTAGTGTTCGAGTAAAGAGCCTTCACAAGGTTTATGTACTTCTGAGGTACGCCTTTCAATGACAGACACTGCCACAAAATCTCGCGGTCTACAGAGTCAAACGCTGCTTTTTAGTCTAGAAAGACCACCATTGTCGGACGTCGATAAGTATGCCAGTGTTCTAGAACCTGACGAATGGTGAATATGTGATCGATGCAGCCACGACCAGGTCTGAAGCCAGCTTGGTTCTCTCGTGTTTGCAGTTCACGAGTCTTAGTTAGGCGTCTGATAATTATCGAGGCTAGTATTTTAGATATATTAGTTAAGCTAATCCCTCTATGGTTGTCACAGGATTATTCTAACCCTCTTTTATATATTGGGACGATAAGTGATTGTGACCAGTTAGACGGAACAACGTCTAACTCACAGATTTTAGCTAAAATATTAGTCAATCTAATCGCTAAAATTGGACCACCATCCTTAAAGACCTCTGGAGCCAATCCATCTGGACCAGCTGCCCTTTCTCGTTTCAGATTAACTATAGACTTTTGGACTTCTGCTAGAGTTGGGGGACCTACTTCAATGTTCCATCCACACTGTCTGGGAATGGAGGGTAGTTGTAGAGTCACTGAAGGCCAGCTGAACTGTTCCCTAAAATGTTCCGCCCATCGTTCTAAACGTCTGGACTGGGAGTAGATGAGAGTATCGTCTTTTTCTGAAATAATCTCACTTACACTCGACTTATTAGTTCCAGTTTCTCTTATTAGTCTGTAAAGCTGTCTTGTGTTCCCTATAGCCGCCGCCTTTTCCATCTCTTTTGCTTTCGTTGCCAACCACTGCTCACGGTCGTTTCTTAGACTTTTTCTTAACCTAGATCTGATTTGTTGTCGCTCTTCATCATGTTCGGAACCTGATGGGACGAGTTTGCAAGAATCCATCAGTGTGATAGACTTTGAAGAAACCCACTGGTTCTTTGTAACTCTGTAGTTTAAGTCACTAATAGACTTCATTGCTGTTTCCACAGCTGTTTGTATATCTTTCCAAGCAACATCTGGGTCAGCCTCGTCTTCAGAACTACCTAAGTGTGACCTCAGTTGTTCATGGAACCTACTTTTGGTTTTCTCGTTACTCAACTCAGTTCTAATGGTTCTTTTTAATGTGGCTTTTTTGCGTCCAGTGAGGCGCAAGCAGATGCGTGCCCGTATTAGGGCATGGTCGGAGTCCAAGCAGGTACTCCAGAATGAGCGACAATCTTCTACCGACCCTCTCCAACGATGACTGATGGCAATATGGTCTATTTGAATCCATCGTTGGTTTGGTGTAGGGGGTCGCCATGTTAGACGATGTCTCTCCTTATGCTTAAAATGTGTTTGCTAAAACTAAACGATTGTCTGAGCACAGTTGCAGCAGACGATCACCATTATCTGTTCGTTGTGCCGGAATACTAAAATATCCACCTAAATGCCTTTCTGTTTGGTTTAAGCTACCTATCTAAGTATTAAAGTCTCCTGCTACGAGTACTATGTCTGAGCGTTTAGCTTTCTGGAGAAGTTCGGACAGCTTTCTGTGAACTTCATCTTTCATATCATCTGAGCTGCAGTCAGTGGGAGCGTAGGCAGAAACGACGAGAAGGCAACGACGTGTGTCCCTATCCTTCCGAGTTCTTACGGAGCCGTTTAGCCGGACAGCACACAGACGACTGTTGACGGGGATCCACTCTAGCAGTGCTTGTTCCGCCCTCATGCTTAGTGCTATGCCTACACCTGCCAGTCCACGAGAGCTGGCCATCGGGTCACCAGATACACGGAGGGTGTATCTCGTTGGATCTCCGTTTGGCCGAGGTGAGGTCAAGTGAATGACCACACTGGAATCCTGTATGCGTGTTTCGGAGACACAGCATACATCAATGGAAAGAGACTCTAGGGTTTTAGCCAAGGAAGCCTGCTGACCGATTTGACATAGGATGCGTACATTGAAGGCTCCAATGTGTAGTGTGGAGCGAGGTTTCAGTAGACCTGGGACAGTGTTTTGAGCACTAGAATCGTTGGCTATGGTGGCACTTGAGGGGGAAGCCGAAAAAAGAAGTTTAGAGTTCGAAATCGATGTAGGAGGAATAATAGGAAGTGAAGACGGAGGTTGATTATGAATACAGTGGTCTTGAGTGCTGTTACAGGTATGAGGGCGATTTTCACTTCCCGGTTGCCCACACCGTGGAAGGGTTGTTCTTGAGGTACCTGAAAAGGAAATCGGATTAGAAGTGGTTTTAGTGACCTGGGAGCGTGACCGCAGTGTCCAAGGGATAATTGCTTGAGGCCGGTCACACACGACCTTTTTATGGGTAAATTTTGTGTTAGCTTCGTACTTGTTGGGACCTTACCACCGGAGACGGATATCCGTGGGATAAGGCGAGGTGTGCATTTTTAGGGTTGACCTTCTCTAACCCCACCCCTCCTTGTGGGAAGGCAGCATCGCTGTCATGCTGGTTGTCTGAAGGAAACAGCTTATTGCTGTCACACCTCTGTACAGTCAGCAGTACGACTTCGCCTTCGGACCTTGGGTTTGTTGCTTTTAGTCTTACCGCTCTTCAACCGACCTTTCTGACGTGGTAGGACCTTGAGGAACAGTGTTTCCAGTCAGTATAGCTCGGTTGCTTCATCACGATAGGCAAGCCCGACCACCACGTCAAGGTAGTAACAATGGTCGGGTTAATAAACTGTACGAACATTTCTAGTTTTATTCACTTTTTTTACGGATGTTCCCTGATGAAGACCTTCCTGTCGATTTGATGTAGGATATGTAGATCCGTTTGTTACTTAATTCATACTATTGTTTCTAAATTATAAGCAGTTTAAGAGAATACGTAAAATAAATGGATGTGTATTATTCTACTATGCTTTTTGTCATTGCTTTATTCAAATCAAAATGATTTGATCAGCATTATGGACTAGATTATACGATATTGATCATTACCAAATATAACTAACTACAGCTAAAACAACTACATACTAACTTCACTGATATTAGCACCGGGTGAGGAATTCTAATCACTGAGCAAGGTGATAGTCCCTTCAAGATTACTATTGTGATAGAGTGGGTATCGAAATAAGTCTGACTCTTGGGACTAATTCACGGACTATCATTACTCATACTTCTATTGTATAACAATCGTATTCCTATATACCCCTTTATTGTAAGCCAACAATGGGCTTACGGATTATCATGTTTTACTGTTTCTTAATTATTGTTAGTGAATTATGTACTGTTCTCCATGACTTATGATACGATTAAATGGGAAGTATGATTTTACATTCGGGGTGCATTGTGTTCCCGCAATTTATGTATAGAAGCTTAAATGTAGACTGTCTCCCTCCCCCCATTATTATTACACTACCTTACACTAATCTGGCCGTTGTTGTTCTTTTTTTCTGCGCTCCATACCTTCTTTTTTTCTCTTCCCATTCTCATTGTTTGTGTGGCGCATATATATTTGGTGCGCTCTTGTACCAATATTTATGTGTTCAAATAAATAGGTGTAGACTTTTGTTTTAGATTCACGACTGAGGATAGAGAAAGGTATGTGGATAGACGGGTTAATAGAAGTCAAGCCTACGTCAGCTTGAGGTTGATTGTGTCAGTCAGAACGTATGGTTGCTCAAGACTAGGAATGTTGGACTACAGACAAAATAGCGGACGCCGGGTGAAGAAATTATAACTGAAATTCTGATTGATGGATTTGGCACGTGATGTCGATTGGTGTCTCAAAACAATAGCGACATATATGCCTTATCAACGAGTGCTAACTAGCATTAAAATAGATCCAGAGACTCTAGCTAACTGCATCTAACATAACACAAGAAGATGGACACATTTTTCTATTTAGAAGTAGACCACCTAAAAGACATAACAACATATCAACGTGCTCATGATTATCATGCAGAAAGTAAACTAACCTTTTCCTGATCGATCTATTATAGCAATCACTGCATCCGTAATCATTTGTAGGTACCAGTGCGGTGAGTTAAAAATTGATGACCTTAACATATTCTCATAAGCAGTCAGAAAACGCCCAGTCCATATAACAGCATCATAGAATCCAGTAATACTCATTACCTATAGAATTAAAAGGATTATCATTAACTTCAATAAATAATAAATGAGTGCTTTATTTTTAAGAATGTCATAAAACATCGCATGCACAAACCCGACAAAGAATACATTCTCGGTGCTGATGATGTCGTTCAGAAGAACGATGAAAGCTCCACGACCGAACCATCAACCTCAGAGAACAAAACTCCATCAGAATAGCGACACTAATATACAGGCTTTTAACTATTGTATCCGCCTTGCTTTTTTTGTGAACATATAACGAGAATCTGTTAATTCTTATAGACTATAGTTAACAATACTAGTTGGAAAGTCATTCTAATTTTTATGTATGCTAATTAATATTGGCAAATTTAGTATAAAACTAAGACTAGATAAATATTGAGTGACTGGTTGAAGACCAATGTATTATTGGGTAGTAGGATTTTTTTTCATTTAGCAATGAACTGAGCATCCACAAATTTATCGTTTTTTCTTGATAATAACTTCAAGATACAAGATTTAATTATAGACGGGACAATAAACTAATTTGACGGAACTAGGTAAAGAGAATTCACAAACGGTGTCTTATTTCAAGACTACAAAACAAGATTACTGAAAGTAAAATATGAGAGGTTCTGACGGTATTCGGCAAATAATGCCTTCTGAACGTCTTGGATGTGATAAGCAAATAAACTTATGACAACGAGTTACACTAACAGAGACGACCGAGATATGTACTGCTGATATTCCATAACCCTAACGGTGAAAATACGTGCTTGAATAACCGACAAGAAACCTTAAAATTTGTGCTAGTCATTTAGACGCGCGTACAATCCTATTTTTCACCTTATCTTGTTTGCTATGGTCCTGTTATGGAAGATGACCATTATAATTGAGTTTTTGCCTGAATGCCACTTCATTATGGTGTTCTGAAGTAAGATAACTTTAAACGATGAACTAGTATGTTAGGTAATACGACGTTCTTTTCTGTAAATCTGTACTTATCGCTGCATTGAAACGAGCAACTAAAGCAGACTGGAAAATCCACATCAGCACCTAGTAACGTGAATGAATTAAACAACCTTTACTATAGAATATATAGGTTGTGACAACACGAATTTGACTTACTTATCAAATTTACATTAATAAGCTATTTTTAACCTCATTGCCAATTTACATCACGAAAAAGCAACTTGTGGCTCTAAACGTCGATACATAAGCTTTATACTAATGGAGAAAATCATCAGAAATTTCATGTAATCAGATAATTCATAATACGAAAACATACCTCATACATCGGGCAAGTGAAACCACACAACCATATATATGATTGTGGAAAATTCTTGAGTAACGTACGATCCCTAGCAGCTTGAAACCACAGTTGCAGTAGTAATGTATAAATTTTCTCATATAAGCAGACATTAGTGTCATTTGGTTTTAGACCATTTGCCAAGCAACTTCTCAAGCGTTTCAATATGAAAGGTGACTGTCGTAAGCTAAAAATTAATGGTTCCAGCAAAGAATTCTGGCAGTCAGGATTTCCAAGTAGTTGTTTCAACAAACTTAGGTTAGAAAAAATTTTCTTGAAGGAACCTGTTTGCAAATTATCTTGAAAACATGAAGGCAGTTGACGTGGTTTGTCTTTAGGATTAGCTTTGATTTCATCAACTTTGACAGGTTGCACCGGAGGTTCATCAAATTCAATACAGCAGTCAGATAGGTCATATGTTTTTTTATACTTGCAAGACATTAAAATTCCTGCATTGCTAGATATTGCACTTGAAAATATAAGATCTATTAGCGTTCGTGAAGTAGATGGTGTAAAATAAGGTCTATTATTTACCTGATTATAGAGAATATGGCGCAATATATCTGGCACAGTTGGATGATCCAAAATAGTTTCTTCTAAGACCACAGAATTCTTGACACAGAACGAAGGTGAAGGTTTACAACCTTGATTATGTACCCACTCTGCACAAGCATAGAAGGTGAACGCTAACATACAATATGACCATGATAAAAGTGAAGGCAGATTCGTTTTTTGTTGCTTTATTTTTTCACATAATCTTGGGAATATAGACTGATTTAATTCTTTGATAGTTGTTCAAATATCTCCGCTTTCTAAGTCTGACCGATCACAGTTTCTCAGAACGCTTAATTCCAATAAACATAGACACAGTGTGAAAATACACAGAAGTAGGTTGGAGATTTCTGACGACGCTTCTAAGCCTTCCAGTAATAGGGATTTGATTTGTTTTCTTAATACCATGGGAATTCTCATGAAAACTAACTGTAACTGCCTGATTTTGCTAATAAATGGTGCTATAGGATTAGTATTTGGAATTACATCATCCAGGCTGTTGCGGATTTCGGTCAAAGTTGAAGAAACGCTGGTCCGATCTGTGAACGGAATCATATTAAAGAAGTCCATTAAAATGACCGAAGGGGTCCTCTTTTCACCATTAACTATGACTGAGTGATTCTGCAAAAAATAAGAGTGGGATGAAAACAAGTTTCCTGTTATGTAACAAAATACCCTCAAATAAACTAATGTTCTGTAAAATGGCTCCATGAAAGCAATTTGAAGACACTGACTCATAATAGTTGGTTACACGACCTTCACTATTTTTCAGTTCCAGCAATATATAAGGCACTGAGTCTTATACTTGTTAAAATCCTGATGACATGCATAGTTAAAGTTTAAAAACTGGAACCTGGAATCGATCCAAGACATCACACATCAGAACACAGTTATAATAGAATCAACCAGAATCGGACAACTATTAGAACAATTAGGAAGGGAATACAAAGAGGATGGGGGGAGTAAATGAGTAAGAAGCGACTAACATGAAGGATATGTGTATGTGATATTCAAATAAGCTAATTTAACACATGTATGTAAGGTAAATGTAATAATCTAGATTTAATGATTGGTAGTGATACTTGGAGCTTCTTTCTTCATTGAGAGAGATTCGGTCTACGAAGATTTGTGGACCCATAGAAGATGAATATTTTTAAGGTTGCTCACTTTCCTCAACCAAGAATGCGGATTGGGTGAAATTTCAGTCAATTCTTATCACTAGTCTAAATTTCATACTCCTGATAGGGACCGACTGTTGTCACTACACTCTAGTACAATCAGAAGTGCTACCACTTTGAACTCAACCAATGTTAAAAAGTAATTTAAGTCTTATCTCTCCAGCTGACTATTGAAATAGTAGAATAACAAGGCTCTCCTATTCTTATTACAACTTGTGTGCGTTTAGTAGACATCTAGTGACCTAAAAAACACGCATACTATTTTTCATAACTGATCACACAGTTAATCACGAACTTCAATAAGATAAATATCGCAATATTTACTCAAAATCAATCACTTTTGTTGATATCAACTACAGATTATGTTTTCCTATATCTACTTTACTAAAATATACAATTTACAAAGCAAGGATACATTAGTCTAACACTGATTTTGGTAAATTTGTATTGACATGTGATTTTTTCCGAATAATATGATATGAAAATTTGTCGGAAGGATATAAATATATATGTTGTTACTCATTTTTAGAAATTCTATAGACTGATAGATAGACAATTTATGGTGTGGCAAGAAAACTCATTAACACTAACCATGTGAGCACGGCAACGGTTCAGTAGTATCTTCCACTGAGGTTACTGAGCGCTTCAAGGTCAAACCGCCGTAATACGATTGGGGCGTCACCTCGACAGTTCGTAAAGTTTTACAGAAGCGGTCAAATCCAGACAATTTTAAATTTGATTTGAGTTCGACCATACTGTCTGATAACGTCCATACTTCAAGTAATGAAAGTGATGTCATCGTGATGATGCATGATGTAGGACGAATCTCCAATGATACTCCGTACTTCACACTGTAGCGGTAAATAAATCCCCAAAATAAATAGCTCTGTAAGTTTACGACATTGGATGCTGACCACATTAGTTTTAATGGACTCACCTAGCTGAAGGCGCTCGTTCATGCATCCGCACCAGATCACGAGTGGGGACGCCGTGTTCAACAACCCCTGCAACCGCTAGCCAGATTAGATCAGACGATTCTCGATAAATTGATATCACATCAAATGTATCTTCCAATCTCCTCGATTCCGTCTTTTGATTTTACTTGGTGGGTATGATTTATATTAGAAGGTGTTACTGGTTAAAGCGTTGTCAAACTCCGAATACCTGTGGCATCTTCATTGGTGAGCCCGACGTGGTCTGGTACGCCAAATTGCAAACTGTGAGTCTGTTCCTTTTTGGGATTTTATATATCATTGCCTTATTTTTTTATTTTTTTTTTTAAACATTGTGATTTTTTTCGTATTTTTCCTTGGATACATATATATTTTCCCCTCGTTTATTATCGTACTTCATATTTCATCATGACTGAACAGACACCTAAAGTACTCAAGCTTAAGACCTTGTCCCCACCTTCGTTTCAACTGATGCCTTTCTGGCCCGACAACATCGAAGCTTGGTTTCGCTACGCAGAAGCCGACTTCTACGAGCACGGTGTGATCGACACACGTGCACAATTCCTCGCAGTAGTCAAGGCACTACCGCGCGAATTCAACAGGTACGTAACACCTAGTATGTTTACTAGTGATGTTTCCGATCCTTACGAAACCTTAAAACGCTCGATTCTTAAACGAGGAGATCTAACTGATCGACAAAGGTTAGATCAACTCTTCAATAACATCGACCTGCAACACGGTTCTGCGACAGACATGTTGCGACGGATGAGAGAGGCTATAGGCCCAAGAACCTTCGATGATGGCCTATCTGAACAACTTTTCTTATCCAAACTTCCTCAACAGGTGCAAGCTGTGCTGGTCTCGTTTCAAAACAACACCTTAGACGAGCTGGCTGCATCTGCCTACCGCATCTTAGAAATCACCAAATCTTCTAATACCGAGGTTTTGTCAGTCAAAGAAAAGCCTCAAACGACCCAGAATAACATTACAGAGTTATGTCATACACTTACGCGTTATCTTAAATTTCGTAACGACCGTAAGCGATCACACACCCCACGTAGAAGCGCTTCACGTAAGCGATCTGTCTCTAGGCCACGAGAGACGGGTAACCCAGACGGAAACTCTGAAACGATCTATCCTTAAACGCGGAGACCTAACCGATAGACAAAGTTTATACCAATTCCTTAATAACCACGACCCGCAACACGGTTCAATCTGTGAAAATTTCTAAAAATCTCCACAAAACACATTCTGATAATAACAATCACCTGCTCACTAGTGACTGACTTCAGGAGACACTTCTGAAGTTCTAGTGAGAAGTCGTTACCAGTGGAGTTCAACCAGGTCTGTTGTGAGATAGGAACTCACTGAAGACAATGGTGTACGGTAGCGCAACTTCGTGGATTGGTTGAAGTTAGACATTAACACCGTTGGATGCCGGCTCAGTGGTCTAATGGTTAAGTGCTCGCGCGCGAAGCCAGTAGGTCCTGGGTTCGAGCCCCGGGTGGTGTGGGGTCGTGGATGCGCACTGCTGAGGAGTCCCATACTAGGACGAAACGGCCGTCCAGTGCTTCCAGGTTTTCAATGGTGGTCTAGCTTCAACTGACTCATGAGTTCAATCTGTGAAAATTTCTAATTTAACTGTTTGAGTAACTCCTTTAAATGGTTGCGGATTATCCCCAGTCACAATTAAGCGTACGACAGACCCACTTTATCAACCACTACTCGATAAGTATCCTGTGGTACACCAAACACAACCGAAATTACCGTGTGTAACCAATAACGTTGCACATCACATCACGACTACAGAACCACCTGTATTCTCTAAAGCACGACGACTAGCCCACGAAAAGCTAAGGTTGGCGAAAAACGAATTCGACCACATGATAGACTTAGGAATCATAAGACCGTCAAACAGCCCATGGGCATCTCCGTTTCACATGGTCCCTAAAAAGGACAGCAACGACTGGCGTCCAACTGGTGACTATCTGCGATTGGATGCGAAAACCATTCCTGATCGTTACTCGTTGCCTTACATTCACGATTTGACAGCTACTTTGAAAGGTACAAATGTCTTTTCGAAAATCGACTTGGTTAAAGCGTATAACCAAATTCCCATGGCTACTGACGATATACCGAGAACAGCTATCATTACTCCCTTTGGACTCGATGAATCTTTGCGAATGCCTTTCGGTCTAAGAAATGCTGCACAAACCTTCCAAAGATTCATAGGCGACGTTTTTCGAGGTCTCATCTTCGTACATGAGTATGTTGACGACTGTCTAATAGCATGTCCTTACAGAGAATCGCATCTCCAGCATCTGGATTTCGTTTTCGACCGACTACAAAAACATAGCATTACTGTAAACATTCAGAAATGCCAAATCGGAACTGACTCATTAGACTTCCTAGGACACACTATACATGTGTAAGGCATTCGACCCCTTCGAACACCGTGCTCAATATCTACTCCAATCGCTAGCCAGATTAGATCAGACGATTCTCGATATATTGATATCACATCAAATGTATCTTCCAATCTCCTCGATTCCGTCATTTGATTTCACTTGGTGGGTATGATTTATATTAGAAGGTGTTACAGTTAAAGCGTTGTCAAACACTGAATACCTGTGCCATCTTCAAAACTTACGACCACTAGCCGTCTTAGACTAGTCACTTCTCGATATGTCAACAGTCTATCGAATATATCTTCGAACCTCTTCGCATCTGACTTCAAATCTCATTGGGTTGGCATATTTGAGCTACAAAAGATGTTACTAGTTGAGTTGTTGTCAAACTCCGAATACCTGTGGTATCTTTATATTTTTTCGTCAGATCTGTTTGTACTTACGGTTGTAAACACAGTGCATCAGAATTAGATACTTCTTTTTAGGGTGTAGATGATGATAGTGGTCTTCCTCTAACTCAGTACCACAACCTAGACAAAGAAGACGATGTCGGTCATTACATATGCTTCATTTCAAATGAATTTATCCTTCAGGTTGAAATATTGCCGCTGCCAAACTGGATTTTGGGTCCGTGCAGTAACTAGTGAGCCAGAAATCACCTTTATTAAAACCGTGCATAACCATTCTCGCGCAGAAGGATACATTTCTGTAGATTCTTCAAGATGATAATTGTCGTCGAGTGGACGATTGTATTTAGGACTTTTCTGATTGAGTAAATAGCCAACTCGTAGCATACGATATATCTTTTCTCGGAAGTTCCACAAACACTCTACCAATGACGATGTCGCCAAAATGTGATCACAGTTGTATCCAGGTTGTTAAACTCACACTGTAATTAATTGGATTTAGACACTAAAAATATCAACGACATTTTACTGCGCGTTCAAGTAAACACTGAAGTAAAAGCATTCAATGTACATGGGAACATATCTATGATTTGCTTCAATCGCAGGTAGTGAATAGCTGTTTACCACGTGTTCCTAGAGGTAGTATGTATTGACTCGACTTATCAGACCAACAAAATTGGGTAAGTAACGAATAATAATAAATTTATCTTAAAGTTTTCCACTGTTTCAACTGGTGGCTACTGATAATCTTGGGCAAGAGCGCACTGTTATTTGCTCTTTGCTGGCAAGAACAACGCGAAGGCTTATGATAAACTCACTTTCGTTATGGATTCGTCAGCGACCGAAATTTCAGCGGTACAGTCTAAGACAGTCATGCCGACATATTATTGTGTTCACTCCATGTCTTAGGAGCATTTTTAAGGAAGTTAAGTGTGAACTCTACGAGTTATTTGCTATAGTCCAGGAATCCTGATGTTCCTAAATACTTGAAACATCCTGTAAAAACCAGGCGATCTGACATGTGAGCTTTGTCTTATATAATGCGTTATATTCAGGTTTATTCAAAAGTACGAAAACCTGAGAACCTATTTTCCACGGGCTTATGATCACATAAGAGACCACTGAGTTGCTCGGGAGTCAGTACGGGTTAACTTTTACCAGTGACATGTACTAAACCTGGGCAACCACACAAACAATCATGTGGAATGCGCTCCTAAACACTTACAAGAATGTCTCGAAAGAGGTGATGTTCTATTGACGTTATGGAAAATCTAGAGTAAGATAGATACTGGCCTACGTTTGTGTCCATATGATGCTATAGAGGATCTCCAACGTTTTTAAAAGCTTGAGGCAAGAAATGTAGTTAGATGTATAGTTCATTTCAGGTTCCAAGGTCACTCAAACTTTTGAATGAGCTCAAAGGTTTCGCAGCTAAAATCGTAGCTGTAAATTCTAAAAGTATCTAGAGAATGAGACACAAAGTAATAGGAGGAGAATACATCAGCTGCTAAGAAAAGGGCATGATGCGTGTTATTGATACTTCACGTGCACGATGGGCTTGTGAGCGTTTTGATGACTTCATGATGCCATGAGGTCATACTTTGTATGTACATTTCAAAGATCTCATTCGTGAAGGTGTGTGGTTTATGTCGAAATAGCAACCGGTGGACAAGAAACAATATAACGGACTTGGTTAGTCGTGTGTTTGGCAATATGTCAAGCTCTACTGGGAGTGAAGATCTGCTTGAGGAGTTCACTAATAACTACCACTTAATCCACGTTTTTAGTGAACCTATGGTCAGTAGACTTATCCGCTCATGTCCCGA